AATCATTCATAGTTATGATTCTTCGTCAAAAATCATCTTCAAATTGGTGTAACCCGACGGGCTTCGTCCGCCAAGGCATAGGCTTCGTCCGAATCGGATAGTCTCTTCGTCCGAACCGTGCATCCCTTCAAGGCCGCGAAAGATGCAGGGAGTAACACTGTTCAATGTCCACAAAGGCCCTTTCCCCTTGTTGATTGCGTTGCAAGATCACCACCCCCCTCCTACCTATGCAGCACAGGGCATTCCTCAGTACATCTCCTACCATGCATCTCCTACAGTATCATACCGACAAAGAATTTGTTTTGGATCAAAATTCTACCATTGAATCCTACAGTATCATCCTACAAGGAGACATGTACCAAAACAGTATCATCCTACCATGCATCTCCTACAGCATCTCCTCCGTACAAAGCGGTGACTGTTTTGGATCACGTTGTTTCCATTGAACGGTAAGGATGCTTGTAAACAGGCAGTCGTGGACAAGAACACTGCACTCGGATGCCTGCAAGAAGTAACACATGGAATTGATTGGGCTCACCGGTAGGAGGACCTCCCTTAAAGGGGTGGGGATGTCCGAAGTAAACATCGACAAATCATCCCTTTCCAAACGAAACCACACGTCCTCTCATTCAAGTAGTATGAATATATATATATATATTAAGTTTTAAAAAGGCAAACCTGTCCGATACGCTTCAATGAGCTTCAAGTTGACTTGCATTGAGCTCAATGAGCTTCAATGAGCTCTCAGTTTGGCACAGCTCACACAGCCAGAAAGTTGCAAAACGCCCCACGCGGATGATCGACATGCCCATGGGGCCAAGGCAGATCCAGATGATTTCACTCCGTCTTGAAGCCGAGACGCTCATCTCACAGAGGACCACAAAAAGTTTGGAACATGCGGAAGTAGGCTTGATTGTTTCGACGGAATGTGGGCAACAGTGTAATCGATCTGTTTGTTCCATGCGTTAACCGTTGATTGACAAATCGGTGGAAAATTCATGTGAAACCTCTTTGGATGTTTGTTTCCAAAAGCACACAAGTGATGCTGTTTTTTGCATTTTGCAGTGACCGGTTAACCGGTTGATCTCAGTTGAACCAAGGACCATAATCTTTGAAGATGCTCAAGTGGAAGCGTGGCATGAAACTCGAGATCCCTCAATCCAATCTGGCGGCGCATTTCGCAGCAAGGGGCCTTTGACTTTGATCAGATCGAACCTAACGGTTTCTTGGACGACTCGCATGTGCGGAACGTAGGTTGGTTGTATGTGTTAAGTTTAACTCTTAACCTTTCTCAATCACTCATACTGGTATAATATCTTACTATATAGGTGAAATGGCCGACCAAACATTGTTTGATTTCACTTCGTGATCAGTGTTTTTCAGATTGTTCTCCTGTGGCCGGACGCGATTTGTCCGTTTGCCCGTCCCCGTGCTGCACTCGCAGAGGTCAGAGGAACCAGAGCTGTGTGGGGGGGGTGGAGTTGCAGCTGGGGATTTGATTCTGGGCAGCAAAAGGCGGAGAAACTGCTCAACCGTTCTGTTTTGGGGTCCCATTTCTATGTAAATAGCTCTGACGAATCTTCATTGATGAGATAAGTTGACTGGCTGATGGTTTGGAATATAGGTTTTATTAAGTTTTACTTGTCCATCCTTAACTAAGTGATTATATAGTTACTGTATTCCAATTGACACATATATTTGTTCATGTGGATTGATCACATCGGAAGGCTCCACAAAAGAATCCTCAGAAGACCACGTATGAACTAAAGCCGATTGAACCAGCCTTGTCCCCCTCTTCCAATACATCCATTTTTAGCTCTGACATGGTTGACCTCCAAGGTTTGCGCTCATTTGGGCCTTTCGGATCGCAGCTGAGGACTTTGGTTTCATCAAGCCTTCGAGTGCTGAGTGCTGCAGCCACAGAGTCTGGCGGGGGTTTTTACACCGAGGGTGCACTGAGACATGACAAGCAAAAGTACGGCTTTACCATGTTTTATTTTTTCCAGTGTTTGGTGCACTGAGACATGAGCAAAGCACACCAGTAGGTCAGAGATGATCCCAATTGAATGAATTTGGTTGTTTGAGCCAACGGCATTGCTTGCGACCCCAGAGGAAATTGTGTTTTTTGGGCTTGAATGATATTAGTAGTATGCATGTGGGTTGATGTTTGATATGTTTGGTGGGGGTTGGGGGTTGGGTAGGGAGCTAATGACGTTGGTTTGGATGTGCTTCGAAGATGATGTCAAGGCCAGGGATTGGATAAGTGAAGGTTTGCTCCCAGGTTTGTTTCATCAGGCTTGGCTGGTGGCTTGGAGAAAGAACAAAAAGAATTCCTGTTGCAATGTAAGACACTAAGATTCTGGCAAGAAAAGCACCATGTTTATGCCTTAAACCCTGCAAGAACAAATGCTCCAATGACTCCAATGTGTGTGTGTGTCACAAAAAAGGACTCTCTGGATGCGCTAGCCGCTAACCGGCTGACCCTGCTAACCGCCGCTCCCTTTGTCCAAGGAGACTACGCGAACTCTCCAAAGTCCTCATTGAGAATGTTTCTGCAGAGAAGTATTACGGTGGAGGTTTCTTTGTGACGGGTGACGCTGACATTTCCGTGCGGAACTTAACGCAGTATTTCCCAGCGGAGATGTCTATGTTTTGCCGAACTTAATTATGTCTTAAGATCTTTATATTGCGGCACCTTGCCCTGACGTTTTTTGAAATTTTCCTTAGTGTCTCGCATTTTTTCATTTTGCGAACCCAATTCATTCACAATTCTACTTTCCAATGTTTTTTTTCCCTATGACTTTCTCCGTTTTGCTCCATTTGTCCTGTCTAACATGCAACACAGCATAGCACCAAACTGGCCGCGCACATCCTACACAGCGATGGCAAAACGGACTCCTCCCTCGTTTTGACAGACCCATAGTGTGGTGAGCAGGAGATGGTGTCACATGATCGCACACGATCAATACAGGCGCAGCAACGATTTCGATCGCACTGCCGTGCGCACGCTGTCGTGGATTGGGGTTCGTCTGTACACGCGGTTGTACTTCTATCTACCTATTCCTTTGCAACTCTAACTGATTGTCCAGCTGTCGTATCCATTTGCATAAATATTCTCTCACTTTCTCCACCTGTTCCCAAGTTGCACTTGCCCATCTACATTCTCGAACCCATCTTGGACCCCTCACAGTCACGATGCGCTTGCCTGTCACAGTCACGATGCGCTTTTGGGCAGGGTTTGATTGACCATGCGGGCATCCGTGCCTTTTTAACCCGCGTCAGGTTGAAGCACTTTCCAACGCTACCCCCACATAATCATCAACGCCTTCACCCCGCCATTTCAGGGCGCTTGTCACACTGCGAGTCTTGCAACGATGCGCACCTATGCCAGTTTTCTTGATGTTCGCGCCGTGAGCCTAAACCCATGCTAGGTTGACATGCCAAAAAAGAGATCAATTCTCGTCAGACACGTTTAAATCCACAAAATGATATCTTGATGTCGGGAGGTGTTGGGAAGGTTGCAGCAGATAGATTTTGCAGAGCATGCCAGGACAGCGGCCAGATCTGCATCAAAGATGCAAGATCTGCCAAGAGCGGTGGTGGTTTCTTTGCCAAGCAGCGTTTGCAGTTGACGAACCATTCAACAGTCAGCATTCAGCGTGCTGCGACTGCAGAGTTTGGTGGAGGTTTCGTTGCATATGATAAGGTTATGATTGCTGACATGTCCTATGTAAGCATTTCTGATGCAGTAGCACACAAGGGCGGTGGTTTCCATGTGGAAAAGGGTGGCATACAGGTGACAGGCAAGTCAATGCTCAACCTTCAACATGTGAAAGCTGGCAGAAGTGGAGGAGGGTTCCTTTCCCTTGGAGAGGTTGAGATAAGTGGAAGCTCAACAGTGCAGATTTCCAACAGCCAGGCAATCTCTGAAGATGGAGGAGGTTTTGCTGCGGCCAAAAGTGTGAACATTTCCGCTGGTTCCACCCTCATCATTCTGAATGCAACAGCTGGGCGGTTTGGCGGAGGAGTTTTTTCCCAGGGTAGGGTTGCGATGCACAGCTCTACCGTCAATATTCAGCATGTCACAGCAGCAGCGCTTGCTGGAGGTTTCTTTACACTGGACGAGGTTGTGATAGCTGAAATGTCAAATGCAAGCATTTATGATGCAGTGGCAGCAGTACAAGGAGGAGGCTTTCAAATAAAGAAGCGCTTACAGGTGACAGGCAAGTCAACACTCAACCTTCAACATGTGAAAGCTGGCCAACACGGAGGAGGGTTCCTTTCCCTTGGAGAGGTTGAGATAAGTGCAAGCTCAACAGTTCAGATTTCCAACAGCCAGGCAATCTCTGGAGATGGAGGAGGCTTTGGTACAGCAAGAGAACTAAAAGTCTTCAATGGTTCCTCCCTCATTATTATGAATTCGACAGCTGGAAATGTCGGTGGGGGATTCCGCGCTGATGGCAAGGTTGCCATGAGCAATTCAACTCTCAGCATTCAGCATGCTACAGCTGCAGGGTTTGGTGGAGGTTTCGTTGCATCAGACGAGGCTGTGATTGCTGATATGTCAAACGTGAGCATTTCAGAGGCAGTAGCATCAGAACAAGGCGGAGGTTTCCACGTGAACCAGCGCTTGCATGTGTTGAGCAAGTCTATACTCAACCTTCAAAATGTGAAAGCTGCCAAACATGGAGGCGGTTTCCTTTCCACTGGAGAGGTTGAGATAGGTGGAAGCTCAACAGTCAAAATTTCCAATTGCCAGGCAGTCTCTGGAGATGGGGGGGGGCTTTTTGACAGAAAAGGAACTCAGCGTTTCCAGCGGCTCAACTCTCATCATTCTGAATGCAACAGCTGGAGGCCAGTTTGGTGGAGGATTTTACACTGGTCGCAAGGTTGTAATCAGCAGCTCGACAGTCAGCATTCAGCACGCCGCAGCAAGAGTGCATGGTGGAGGCGTCTATGCTAAAGACGGCATGGCGCTTACCGATGAATCTACAGTTGCCATGTCCGACACCCACGCAGGGGTAGAGGGTGGTGGGTTCATGGTTGGCACTGCGCTGACAATCCACAATGGCTCAATGTCCGTGGCCAATTGTTCCGCTGTGGAGACAGGCACTGCAGGTCGGGTGGATGGTAGGGTGCTTCTTTCATCTCAGTCCAGCCTTCATATTCATCATGCAGAAGGTGATGGTAGCTCCAGCGTCCTAGTAGCAAGCTGCCTCCAACTACATCCCGAGTCAAATTTTGTCCTCGAAGGCATCATTGGTGGGCATGGGTTGGACCTGCAAAACAGCGGCTGCTCCTCTCGTTGCAGAAACACCACCTTCCAAGTAGCAGAAAGTGCAGCCCTGAATGCAACTGGTCTGTTGAGCTCGGGTTTGTTGTCAGTAAAAGCCTGCCCTTCTGAAGAGGTGCGCCTCTCAGGGATTTACTTGCGTTCTTGGCACAGCTCACTCCTCACCACACGCCCCCGCTATGTGGTGGTTGAAAATGTCAACATTCACTACCTGCCACCAGTCGACCATTTGCAGATCCTTTCTGCTCAGGATCTGGCCATTCTTGCACCGACATGTGTGTGTGTGTTTTTCACTTTGTAGGGAAGACAGATGTGCCATATGCATCAGAAAGAGTTCTCCATCCCTCCGTATTTTGCATGAATTTGTAATTAATTGGTTAACTATCCTTTGTAATTGGTTAACATTCATGATACTTGCTCACATCAACCTTTGCCAAGAAGCGTTGACTCTTCAAAAGCCTGCCCGACTGCAGGAGAACTTTAGTATCGACTCCTTGGCCATTTCATGCCCGGACTGTCCGCAGGGAGTGACCTTCAATGCAACAGAGGATGGGACTTTGCGAGCTTTGAGTCCAGAGAATCTTCAATGTTTCAAAACCTTCACGGTGCCACTTGGCGAGAACAAAAGTGTGTTGGCCTCTCGTTCAGAGGTTCGAATCTCTTCGTCAACTCGAAATGTTCAGAATCCAGACGTTTGCTGTAGAAGATGTCTTGGGATCTCGTGGGCGCAAACTGCAATTTCAACCCAGATTGCTAAAAAGGCTCTGGCTGGCTCCCAGGTCAAATGGCCTGACGCCCCGCTGCGATTGCGGAGACTATCGGATTCTCGGCAAACATCTTTTGCTTACCATCATTTTGATTGTGGTTTTCGGCTTTTGGTGAACCTTTGTTCCCAACAGACTGGAGAATGCACTCTTGGCTCCCTCATTGTAAGGGGGTCGGCCCCTAAACTGAAGATTTTTCAATCACATCGAAGGATCACCAGCGAGCACTTCCGCAATACAGAACTAGTGTCTCTAAAAGACGTTTTCCGGACGTGCAGCTTTTGCAACTCGCTCGCAACTGATAGACTCACTGACATGTTCGCACCGACCATTCACCTGGAAAGGTTGCAGATACAATATATGTTCATAATAATTATGCAGAAAGGCTTGTTGTGAGCGGTTTTTTGTAATTATGATGTTACAGCAGAAGTGAACCGGATCACCTGTACAACTGCATTCAAGCATGTTCTTTGATGTTCATGTGATTCTTGAGGCAACAGGCACTCTTACTTCCAGGATGGCATTTGTCGCCCTTGTGAGATCTACAGAGCTTGGTCTGATGGCAAACATGACGTGTGCCATTGGCTGCCACGTGAAAGGCCAGAGCGTGTCATCCTGTTCACTGGTGCAGCAGTGTTGGTGATCCTGATCTTCATCGTGTTCGAGATCCTTCAGACTCCGTTGGTGATTCTTGATGCCAGGTCTGATTTGGAAGATCCTTCGGACATGGCAGCCACGAGGATCTTCACCATCTCAGTGCAGGGTCCTATCACCAGCCTTCCCAAGAGCATATCACGACTGGTGCACCAGAGAGTGCATTATCGCGCTAGGGGAACTAGTCTGCAGTGGCTGGATTGTGATCCACAAAAGTCCAAGGCAATCAAGGTTTGCAGCGTGGCACAGAGGAAGCTTTTGCTTCAAAATGCACACGTGCCATTTGATTGCGCTTCCTGCAGAGGGTCCCTGCATGCTACCGAGACTTGTTACTTTTTCACGCTGCTTATTGCCTTGGTGTTTTTGCTTGCAATGCTGCCCACCATTATCAAGGTCACAGTCATGTCCGGAAACCGCTTCGAACATACAATCGTCACTTGGAAAGTAACTGGGAAGTATTGTTTCAGATTGTATTCTTAAATGGGCACGTGCATTGCTTTCTTCTTTGTGTTGATTCTGTTCAAGACCAACTGTCTAGTTCTTCAATCCTAAAAAGGTCAGTGCTGTGCTCTATCTTGCTCTTCCAATGGTGGTTGTGGCTGTGGTGCTGCACTGGCCGGTGTCATGGCTTATTCAACGCCTGTACCGCAGAACGCCCTTCTCGGAAGCTTTGGATGACTACCAGAAACAAATCCACTGCAAGCCACATCCAGGTCCAGATGCAACCCATCCTCGCAACCAGGGCCTGTTGGTCCTTACACTGCGCGGATTGTGGAAGCACTTCGAGAGTTTCTGAGCCTTCTCATCGGGTAAGCTGTTGTTGGGAAGTTTTTACTTTGCATATGCTCAAAGCACGGAAAACAATAGTTTAGCAGTTTTAGTTCAATACGCTGCAGTATGTTCTATGTTCTAATTAGATAATCATGTCGTCATGCTGTTGACCAAGAGACAAGCTAGATAAAATGCTACCTTCTTTCCAGGATGTTTACTACGCTTTGCATTCATTATGACACTACGCTAATGATTAATTAAGGCGCTTGGCTCGCGAGGCTTTAAATACTACTGTAATGCGAATTGGCAAATAGATAAGATGATGTTTAAGGATTTGAAGCCAAATACGTTTGGCAGAAAATTGTTTTGTTCCAAGGGCTTTGGGGTATTGATTCGTTGTCAAAACATGATGTGTTATCGAAACATAAACTAATGACATCGATCGCGACGATCTCGATGCGAAGCCTTGCTTGTGAGGCTTCATTTTGGAGCGTAATATGCATTTTGTGGTGGCCAATATTGTAAGGCCCCTGACACAGAGCAAAAGTGTGTCCTTCGTGACTCTTTGGGGTGCCAGGCAGGTGGACTACTTTGTGCCCCTTGGCTGATGCAAGTGAATGGGACCAGTGGAATGTGGTTGATGTGGTGCATTGACTCCCTGTGTTTTTTTCCCGAGAGCGTCTGCGAAGGGTTCTTCGTAAAAAAAACATCTGCATATCTTCACATCTTGACCTCTTCGCGTCTACATTCACAACTGCACATCTACATCTCTGCTCATCTTCACATCCTCACATCTACATCTCACATCTGCTCATCTTCACATCTACATTCACAACTGCACATCTACATCTCTACTCATCTTCACATCCTCACCTCTACATCTCACATCTTTACCTCTCATCTACATCTCACATCTTCACCTCTCGCTCTGCTTAACTTTCTCTCTTAAGTGTCGAGCGAACGAAATGCAGGCGAGAGTGCGGAGATCGTGCGTGTCGAGTGCGCGAAATGCAGGCGAGAGTGCGATTTGTCTCTGTCCGTCGCAACCCTCTGCGGAGATCATGCGTGTCAAGCGCGCGAAATGCAGGCGAGAGTGCGATGTACAACTTTAGTACGCGGAGCAATCTGTGGAGCTGGAAGCTGAGAA